CCAAGGCTCTATATTGGGCCCTGCCCTGTTTATACTGTATATAAATGACTTACCTTGTAATATTAATGACTTATCTGTAAAAAGCTTTCTTTTTGCTGATGACTTGGCCTTGTGTGTACGGGGTAACTCTTTGAATGATGTTACAGACACATTGGACACAAAATCTGCTGTTATTAACAACTGGTGTAATGCAAACAAGTTATGTCTTAATGCTGATAAGACTCAGGACCTGACTATTAGTCTAAGCAGTAATGGTAATGATGTAAACACTCTGAAGTTTTTGGGTTTTCATTTGCAGTCAAACTTGAAGTGGTTTTCACATGTAGATTTTGTAGCATCTAAAATTGTAAAAGGCATATTTATGATAAGAGCACTTAGGTCCACTGTTTCAGATGATGTCCTTATTTGTATATATTATGGCCACATTCATAGCTATTTGTCCTATGGTACCTCACTGTGGGCCAACAGTTTTTATGCTAACAGGCTGCTTTTTACTTTACAAAAGAAGGCGGTGAGGTTAATTTGTAGTGTGAATAGAAGAACACATTGTAAGCCCCTTTTCGTGAGTCTTAACATTCTCTCATTTCCATCCTTGTATGTTTTGGCAAGTTTGTTGTATGTAAAAGAAAACATTTCTCACTTTGAAAAGATATCTGATGTTCACAACTATTGTACTAGATCTAAAGATAATCTGTCTACACTAAGGCATAAGTATACAGCCACTCAAAATAGTTTTGAGTACCAAGGTGTTAAAATGTACAATTTCTTGCCTGCATCCATCAAAAACCTGTGTGTTTCAAAATTTAAACATGTTTTAAAAACTACTCTAACCCAGGCTTGCCTGTATAAACATGAAGAGTACTTTGGTTTAGAGTTTTAGTTTTAGTTGCCATCTTGATTGTTTTCTTTTTCTTTTGACGATTGTCATGAACTTTGTACTCAGTTTTAACGACAATAAAGCATTTCATTTCATTTCATTTCATTTCATTTCATTTCATTTCATTTCATTTCATTTCATATTTTTCGTGGAAAAGACAAGAGCACCATTGTTAATAAAAATTCCAACCCGAATAAAGTGTGCAGTAGTGATGTTGAGGTAGTGTTTTAACTACTTTTAACCAGTGTGAAAAGTAACTTTCAATTACAGGCCTACCTTAGGGCTATGCCTCATAGATCTTTACTGTAAAGCAATTCCTTTCATCGTTAGATATAAAATATGGACTAACACCATCGGGTGACATTTAATTGCGAAGCATTCGTTTTGGCTTTGAAACTGTCAGATATTGTATTTGAGAAGGTTTATATGTATTCCTAAACAGTTATAGTTTTGCCATCATATATGGAAAAATGCACACTAAATATGCAAACCAACTCCTGTTCTGAATATAAGGTTTTAACTTACTACAAGATTCCCGTACGTAGAACGGGCAAACAGCTAGTTACAAATAAATACAAAACAAAAGGGAATAACAATCGGATTAATATACAGTAGTTGAGTACCGTAACGTGTAAAGTTGGAATTTTTACAAAAAAATACTAACTTATAATTAGGGTTACCAGAATTAGATAACTGACTTTAGATACTCTAAATAGCCATTCCATGAATGAAAACCGTATATAATTGACTTTTGCTACTGGAAGGAGACAACTCATTTAAGTGAACGGTTGAGTACCAAACGTACCGTTGAGTTTGGATACTGCAAGTAGACAATTATTTTACGTAAACCAAATGCAGCATTGAGTTTGGATACTAAAAGTAGACATTTCATTTACATGAACCAGACGTACCATTGACTTTGATACTGCAAAAATATATTCCATTCATGTGAACCAAAATATCATTTACTTACTGCAAGTAGAGATATCATTTACGAGAAACAGATTAGGCATCGACTTTGGGTGCTGCAAGTATGCATCCCATTTACGTTAACCAGATGGAGCATTGACTTTGGAAAGTGTTGAATAAATATGCTTGCTCCACTCAATATTGCAAGCAGACAACTGCATTGTACACCTAGTTATAAGTTGATAGAACAACATTTTGTTACATTAATACAACCTATTAACACTTGCAACACAATTTTGGGTAATTATAATTAACATTTTGCAACAAAATGATGTCTTCATTATCACAAGAGATGCTCTTAATTTATTTAAATTAAATAATTAAATTTATTTTAAATTTGATGCTACAAAGTTAAAAAATTTAAACAAGCAGAACTTACTGTCAAATGAATTTTGATTTCACAATTCCACACAGCTGGTTCAAACATGATCGAATATTAGAAAAGAAACTGTATGGATCATAAACATAAATAAATTATGTCACTCGCCCGGATGTAAATATATATTTAACATTAAATATAAATTTAACATTTAATATATTTAACATTTAATGTATTTAACATTTAATATATTTAACATTACTTAAATGGAACTGTCAAACCATGATAATATCATTAGTACAGGATTCTTTAAGTTACGTCATTTGTTTATGTTTATGATCTATACTGAGTCTGTTCTAATATTTGTGAAAAGTTGTAATCTATATAATTAATACGCTACACGAAAGTTTGTCGGTTGAACTCCTCCGCCATTTCCTAACCAATTTTATCCATTGACGTCTCATTGGAAAGAGCGTGTCGCGTAGATTTGCAAACTGGCCTTACATTTTTGAAAAAGTCCCTTGGGCTCAGCCCCAGTGGCTTTGAAAGTTCCCATGTTATCCTTATGAAGAACACAATTGTTTACATTTTGATCAGCTGTATAATTTAATTGCTGTTATTTATTTTTCAATTCAATGAAACGCATTGAGTACATTTATTTACTAATTGAGTTTGTGTAAACATAACCCCCAAGACGGATCGTGTTAGTATGGTTGTATCTTAAATTTGTGCGTTTATCGTTGTTTTGTGTAGCTATAATTTGTTTATTTATTGTTTTTTTTTTAATGCCTCCGACGCGACGACAACGAAACATAGATTGGAGGCGTAATCGTGATAACGACCGCAGCTACAGAACAGTGGCGCGTAATAGGCTTAACTCATCACAGTCATTACCTGACTGACCGACCCTGGAAAATCTCAACTATTAGGTTACAAATGCGCCCTAACACTGCCCCAAAACAACTTTTCGTTCTCAATTGGCCCTCTCTATCAATGGCCTGTATTGCCTGTACGGAGAGTTATTTTGAGAAGGAGAAAACCGGCCAGAATGCTTTAGGTTTATCAATTACGAATATAAACGTGGTCTGAGTTACACATCGGCAAATCTTTGAGTTAACTCTTTTAAGCTCATTGTAAATATGACTGTTATTCGTTTTGAAACTCCTGTAATACTTTGCAATTGCTCGAATTCGAGCAACATGTACACTAGTATCAATTAATTTAAGTCAGCTGTAAATACTTAAATTTAACCAAACATTCTCCCAAACACACATTTGCAACAAACATTTGCTCCCAAGAGATTCTTTATACAATAAAACATTTCAAAATAATGATAAACAATCTGATTGCAGATATAAAGAAAGTTAATAATGTCAATTGTTATTTATTTAGTACTAGCTGTACCCGCGGGCTTTGCCCCGTTTAACTTCATATGTGAGCTCGTTCGCATGGCTCAATCACGTCCTGGTTGAAGTTCGTTCGCTACGCTCACTCACCTTTAGGTTGGAGCTCGTTCGCTGCGCTCACACGTCCAGGCTGGAGTTCGTTCGCTACGCTCACTCACCTTTACGGTTGGAGCTCGTTCGCTGTGTTCACTTGCCTTCAGGTTAGCTCGTTCGCTACGCTACCTCGCCTCCGGGTTGAAGTTCGTTCGCTACGCTCACTCACCTTTTGGTTTAAATTAGCTGTTGTCAAATATAAAAAAATAATAGTGCTGCACTCTGTTGGTAATCTTTGTAACTTTAATGCTTTTGAACATCATAGAAGAGAACCAACTTGTTTAATTGAAACAGCTGTTAAGATTCATTAATTCCATTTAAATATGAGTACTCATTAGGTTAACATGGGAAACTCCAGAGCCACTGGGGCGGAGCCCGAGAGTTCGATCAGAATAAAAACCACTTAGTTGTCCTATTTAATGCCTAAAGAATCAGTGTACCAAATTTCAGCCTCCTAGGTAAGTGGGAAGTGGGAGAATTAGTGATGAGTGAGTGAGTCAGTCAGTCAGTGAGGGCTTTGCCTTTTATATATATAAGATTCTATAAAGTAAACAATAAGTTAAATAGATTGATATATTTATAGTTAGTAAGTAGGCCATTCATTCAATCTAATACATAATTATATGAAAAGAAACTCAAATAAACCTTAGATTTCCCACATGCCTCTTCCTTAATCTGATATATTTGCTTAAAATAGATTTAACATCCACACACATTACAAACTAAAAAGTAGAAAATAATTTATAAATAAAAACCTTTTTTTCTAAACAAAACGTTTTTAAACGCACTAAAAAGTAGAAAATAATTTATAAAAATGTGGAGAGTTTGTAAGAATTCACACGAAAAACGTGGGGCGCTGCATGCAATTGATAATAATACATTAGTTCAATAGGTGAAGGTAATTTGTAAATTATCTATTGCATGCACCCCACGTTTTTCGTTTTAAATCTTACAAGTATTTATACCCTCCACATTTTTATAAAATATTTTCTACTTTTTAGTGCGTTTATAAACGTTTTGTTTTAAAAAGGTTTTTATTTATAAATTATTTTTCGTTCGAGTTTGAGTTTGCGACATTGTGTTCTACTAATTAAGATCTTGAATTTGATACCAAACTTGACCTATGCTGCTATTTAAGAATTGTATATGACTCCTCGTGGGCCCTTAAGGGATAAAATAGTTATAATAGCTTTAAAGAGTAGACATTTATGGCTATTATTGATATACCAAATCCCATTACTTCACTATAATGGTAAAAAATATATTACACCGTCCCGTGCAATCACACTGTATACTATTTATAGGGGGGAGAAAGTAAAAGTTGTACTATCACGCTATACATTCTCTTTATTTTAATGAGAATTGAAAATACCAATTACAATGGCTGTATAGGAGTTAACTTTTCAGGTGTCGGTTTTTCATTGTTCACATACAAAACTACGAGCTTGGCTACATTCCCGGGTAACAAATCCGACAGTGTCAGCTGTCAGGCAGTGATAAGATTCGCCGTAAGGCTCAGAACCCTTCCAATGGACTAAAATAGGTTGTCCAGTGGATATCCATAGGAAATTCGGATACTTGCCAAAGTCATGACCACCAATCCATACACATTCTTCTACATCTGTCAACATAAAAGATATTATATCCTAGGGTGGAATAAAATAAACGGTATAAGCAAACTAACAAACAATTTCCCCATTAGCTTGACATAAAAATTGTGAGAAAGTCTAGCTACAGTGTTTCATACTATACCTTTTGACCGACTTGGAAATTGGTATGTGACTAATTCATAATATCTCTAGGAGGTTGTTTTTAGAAATATGTGGTGTGTTGAAAAATACGAGAATTAAAAACGAGATCGGTAACCTATAACCGTACAAAAACACTTCAAATACACCAAATTATTTCTTTTCGTAACCTCTTTTAAATAGTTTCAAAATAAATTGGTAAATTTTATGTTTTGGGGAAAAATGAGAAAACCCAATTTTCACCCCATAAAACCCCACAAAACCCTGTTCCCATAGTCCAATCACGATGGTTCGCGAACTCATCCCACCCTACATCATCAAACCAAATTTAATCAAAATCAGACAAAAAACTCATTTATCTATAAAAATTTTAAAGAATAGTGTTTTTGGCCTCTAGGAACATTAAACTGAAAAATTATATCGCTCCCCGCTCCAGGTCTTACTGTGCCACCTACGGTAATAGCTACTCACCAACAGGGAAATTTGCTAAAATAAAACGCGGGCATCTACCGAATATACTTCAGAATAGTTTTGGAATAAGAAATAACAACGCCCATTTTCAGGTTAGTTGAAAAATATTTGTTTTAGAAACTAGATAAAATAAGGTTGCCTGAAAAAAGTTACTTCAATGAAAATTTATATGGTTAAAATTATTAAAAATAGAACATGATCCTTATTCATGTTTGACTTCGTCTTCTTGTTCTTCTTATTTTCTTCTTCTTCTTCTTCTTCTACTACTTATTTTTATTTTACTTCTACTTCTTCTTTTTCTTCTCCTTAAGTAGTGTTCAGCATTCAATGCGGATAAAAGTTGTTGAGGCCAAAGAGAAACCAACAATGTATTAAGTACCAAAATAATGTTGAGGAATAATAATGTTGAGGGGAATATATTTTACTTCAAAATTTTTATGAGAATATAGGCCCAGGGCTATTCTGATTTATAATAAATAGATTAAATTTTTTTGTTTTTAAATTAATAAAAACTAAGTTAAATGTGCAAACTAGTTTATAATTATTACAAAATAGAATTGAAAATACCTCAAATTCTAACAAATTTTGTAAACTAAAACAATCACCTATAAAATATATCGTTATTGACGCGATTCAATGCGTTTATTTCGGGTTTGATGATCAGTCCACATACCAAATTTTATCAAAATCTGACCACAGGTGTAGCCTGTAGCTACACATGCACAGACCACTATGAAAAGCATTTTTTTTTTGTTTTTTCTTCATTGTGGTGTGAGTAGCCTCCGGATTGCGAATAATAACTATGGTTTAAATACTTTATTCTTGCAATCCGATTGTTGTCTTCACAACTAGTTTCAACCTGCTAGGAGGTCATCGAAAAAATAGAAATTAATGACTACGCCTGCGGTCCGAGTTTTACTAATCCATAGTACCTCCAGGTGTTTAAGTTTTTTTTTTTCAATTTTGATAAGAAAATCGGATTTTTACAAAAACAACAAAATTTAATATGGGTCATTTAACCCTGAAAGAAATTACACAACTCCCAGTGTTGTAAAATTTACGTTCGTAAAGTTATTGACATTGTTGTGATGTTTCCTATAAAAACCGATAGGTGTGTTTGTGTGAATGTAAAAACTGTTACTGACGACCTTCATATGAAGTAATATCATCTTTGTACACACCTGATGATGACCTCCTAGCAGGTTGAAACTAGTTGTGAAGACAACAATCGGATTGCAAGAATAAGGTATTTAAACCACTATCATAGATTGTTTTGTGCAAGAGGTATACTTAGGTTCTATAGTGCGGTAAGTATTCATAGAAATAATCTTCATAAACTATGCATAAAAGTATACAATGTACGAGTATAAGGGGAAGAAGTAAAATTAAGTTTTTACAATTGCATTGATATTTGTAACTGTCATGTTTGTGCAATCATTTAATGTAATGTGTTTAAAAATCTACTTACAGCCAAAAGTTTCAACTAAACTGTTCCACTCGTCATCATTTTCGATTGTCGCTAGTTTCATTCCATTAGCATTGCAGTTAGTAACGGCGTCCCACCAATTTTTCTGTAACACATAAATGAACTATTACCTACTTACTGGTTGGTTAGCTTCAAAATTTTGTCTTGTATTTTTTAAATCATACTTAATCTTAAAGACTTACATTACATAGTAAATAAAGGAATTTTATGAATTCAACTCTGCCCATCTCTACACAGGAGTGGGATAAATTTTGACGAAAAACAAATAAAGGTTCCAATTTACGCCTTGAAACTAAGCACGGTGCAATTACAAATTCAGAGCTTATTACTTCCTATTTTGCAAATTGCTGTGTGTTATACAGTTAATGAAAAAAGATTTAAGATGAGGCCACATATTTCAATCGAATTCAACGTATAAAAATACTTTGGTATTGTCATACTCCAGAATTATATTCAAGGGAAAATTCGCTGACTTTAAGACAAGATTATTTTGGGTTGGGGGTATTTGTTTTAATATATGAATCTATATGTATCTATATATATTTAATATATGTAATATATGTTGTGTTTGTATGTATATATATATATATTAATAAACAATACACCATAGTACCCTTTTTTTAAAATTTTTAATAACAAGTATTTTTTTCTGATTTTCTTTTTAATTCTTGAGTTTTTGGTTTTTTTGATTTTGTAGATTTTCTTGTTTATTAAATTAGGGTTATAGCCATTGGCTTTAGCTATGTTTTTTTGATGATTGATTTTTCGGTTTCATAGTCTTGTTTGGTCATCGGAATTTGGAGCATTCTGTGTATCAATGAATTAAAACTTGCCATTTTGTGTTGTCATGGGGTGTTGGAATGTATCGGTTTCTTTTCTGTAATTTGTTAATCAGTGTTTGGAATTATTTCTTGTAATTGTCAAATCTTAAAAGCTGATACTATGTGTTTGTATTTCTATTGTAAATTTTATTTGGTTAGATATTGTGTTTAAGTAATTTAAGAACTGATAACATGTTTTTAATTAATTTAAGTTTAACAACTGGTGTTTTTCCTTCAAGACTAAAAAATGCAGTAGTAATACCAATTTTTAAGAGTGGGCTGAAGACGAAATCTAGTAATTATCGTCCGATACCTCTGTTGTCTTGTTTTTCTAAGATATATGAAAAGATCATGAAGAACAAATTACTATCATTTTTAGATCAAACAAAATTTTTTTGCAAGAATCAATTTGGATTCAGAACTGCCATGAACACTGAACATGCTTTGTTAAATTTTATGATGGGGGTTAATGAAGGTGTGAATGAGGGTAAAAAAGTTAGTGGGTTTTTTTTTTATATAAAAAAAGCGTTTGATACAGTCGACCACACACTGCTGTTGAATAAGCTGTTCAATATTGGAATTAGAGGTGTTGCCCATGAATGGTTTAAAAGCTATCTCTCAGACAGGAAACAGTGTGTCAAAATTAATTCAATCATAAGTGATATGGGAACTATTAAAAGTGGTGTACCCCAGGGATCTGTATTGGGGGCAATTTTATTCATCATATATATTAATGACCTGTGTGAGGGTAAATTTAATGGTAGTTTAACCTCATTTGCTGATGACACAGCATTGTGCTACTCTGAAAGTAACTGGCAGTCTGTTCAGAAGGCAATGGACAGAGATCTTGAGTTATTGAAATGGTGGTTCACTGTTAATCGTTTGGTGCTGAGTGCTGAGAAAACCAAATACATAAATTTTAGCCTCAAGAAACCAATTACATTTCCAGACCCTGTAAAATTTAAATGTACACTCTGCTTGAGTAAGCATTCAACCTGTATGTTTGAATGTGCCACTGTTCATCAAACCAGTTGTATTAAGTATTTGGGTCTTCATGTAGATGAAGAATTTGGTTGGAAAATTCATGTAAAAAAGCTAAAGGACAAAATTAACAATTCAATTAGATATTTTTACTTTTTAAGAAGTGTTAGTAACTGTCAAGTTTTGCGCATGCTGTATTATGCTTTAATACAAAGTAGGCTTGAATATGGCATAGCTTTCTGGGGCAATACATATGAGTCATATACAAAACCATTATATTTTCAACAAAAACATGCGTTAAGATTAATCTCATATAAAACCAGATTTGACCCTTCAAAACCTCTTTTTATCCAATACAACATTTTGCCATTAAAGTACCTGTATGTTTATAAGACTTTAAATCTTTTTTGTACAGTTTATAAGACCATTCCCAAAATTGAAAATGAATACATACTCAAACTTAGAAATCCTAACCAGTTTCTGGTTTCTAAACCCAACAATACATTTTATATTAAAACGTTCAGATTTATTGCACCAAATTTTTTCGATAAATTGCCTTTCAATATAAAGAAGATAGTAGAAAACAAAAAGATGTTTTTAAGTAAAGTTAAGAAATGGCTTTCACAGCAAGAAGAAATTGACGAATTATTTTCATTATTACAGTAAATAGTGTTGCTTTAGAATTGTTTTTCTTTTTTATTATATACATATATAGGATTAATTAATTATAAGGGCGCACTTTGGCGGGCTATGCCACTCAGGGTCTATACATTGTATGTAGTGAGCTATGACGGCCCTTGGGTTGGGGCTAGCAGCCGCCTGGTGGTGATAGTGCAGTGCATCGTTAGAGTTATCAGACCAACAAGATAACAAGATAACATTCATGACTATTTGGCAAGTGTTTCAAATTATAATTTTTCTTCTTACTTATTTTCTTTTAAATTGTTTAAGACCATTGTGTTTTTAATTTCAAATCTTATTTATATCTTTCTGAACGCTCTTTGTTTATGTAAAATTTATAATTAACGGTCCCTCAACTACAGGCTTTGCCTATAGAGGCCCTATTTATTTTCTCTACGTTAAAATTCGTAGGTCACGCTTATTGTACATAGCAGATATTCTTTTCATGTTTAAGATGATTTATTTTTGTTTTCTGAATTTGTCATATGTCAGCCTGGTGAGATCAAAAGACTGAAAATAGCATAATTGTTCTTTATAGTCGTAATCAACTTCATTTGTTTTGTATCTTTTTATTAATGTGAATTTGTTGTGCAATAATTGTGACCTGTGTATTGTATTATATGTATCCGATCTGAAAGAGAAAATAAACAAACATTCTATTCTATTCTATTCTACATGTAGTTTCATTCCCTTTGAAAAGACAAATTACGTCCTCTACGTACCTATACCAATATATAATCTCATTTTTGTGTGGATTGCAGTCGTTTAAGATTTTTGTATCTTCCATGTTGTTTAAATATATATTAGCTAGTAGACCAATAGTAGCGATCCCATTGCGAGTCCATCAACTTGTCTGTAGTATTTGGATTCATATTTGAAGTAGTTTTGGTCTGTGCCAGTTTTTGTTAGTTTGATTATGTCGTCAATTTTAAATTTTGTTATTAAATCATTTTATGATCAATTATTTTCAAGGATATTTAAATTTTCTTTTATTGGGATGTTTGTATACATGTTTGTTACGTCAAATGAGATGAAAATCGCCTCCTCTGGAATTTTAATATCTTTTATTTTTGTTATTAAATCTAATGATTTTTTCACAGTATAATCTGTACTGTTTGATGTGGATTCGTTAATTGTCTTGTTTAAGTACTTGCACGTTTTGTATGCTGGAGCATTCTGATAATTTACAATTGGTCTGATTGGAATATTTAGTTTGTGTAATTTTGGTTGTCCTCTTAAAACTGGTGCTATGGGATTTATGGTTTTCAAGTTTTGTTTTTCATTTTTAGTTAGTGTTTTGCATTTTGTTATTATGTTGTTCATATTTTTGTTGTATTCTGGAGTAGGATCTTAAGCAATTTCTTGAAATGTATTTGATTTGATGAAAACCGTTACCTTTTTGTTTTAATCTTCTTGTTTTATAACAACTACAGTGTTACTTTTGTCTGCTTTTGTGATTATTGAATTATTTTGTTGGAGTTTGTGAGATACTGATTTTATAATGTTCATGTCGGTTTTCGAATTTTGTATAATCTTCTGTTGTTTATGGCTGTGCGGACAAAAGATAAAGACTTACAAGATCCAATTAGACATAACTTTATTCATGAGCTTGAAAAATCAGGATATAACAACAAACAATTACATGTCTCCCATTCAGTACCTCGATTGATAAACCATTAAGAAAACATTTGACAAGTCAAAATTAAAAATTAGTTATAGAACAAGAAATAACTCCTTCAGATTAATACAACAAATGTCCAACAATAATCGACAACCAATGAACAAATATGAAAAATCTGGAATATACCAAATCAATTGCAAAGACTGCTCTAAATTTTATATCGGATAAACAGGGCGATCAATTTCTTGCCGATTCAAAGAACACATTCAAGCAGTAAAATCCAACAACATAACAACTCAAAAATCAATGTACGCCGAACACAATTTATCACTTAACCATAGTTATGGAAAAATTGAAGATAGTGTAAAAATTTTAGAATATGAACAAATAGGAGAAAGGATGCATGTAAAAGAAGAATACATATATATCTAGCAACAAGAAAAAAATTAAGCAACATCCTCAACATAATGCAAACAAAAAAATTTAAACGCAATTTATAAAAATATCGAAGAATTAAGATAAAATTAATAATTAAAACCATTGGCATAATGATATTCTTAATTATATAATTTTCCAAGACAAGATATATTTAGTTAAAATTCAAACATATGATTGTATTTATTTTTTGTTTGTTTGCATATTTAGATTTAATAACATTGTTAAAGACTGTGAACAAGTGTCTTGTGACTAAGTGTCAAAATGCATCAGTAATTAAAAATATTTAAAAAAAGGGTACTATGGTGCATTGTTTATTAAAATTAATTACATTTTTCTCCCCATTTTTCCCACTTTTAACACTTTTTCCTTGAAATAATTGTATTTTAATAACTACACCTTACGTCATTCATCCTACGTCACACAGTATGACGCAGTCCTGTCTACGTCACGCATCCCTGACCTACCCTATGACGTCACCCCCATAGTAAAAAAAATACTGTAAAAAAAGATGTATGCCAATCACGTATACAAGTTCTATGAACGATTACGGTTTAGTGTAAGATTTGTAGCTTCCTGCGAGGAGCCTAGATTTGTAAGGATTATTTTTGTTTAAAAAAACGCTGTTTTCATTTCATTCATTTAATACATTCCATTCATTTCATTCATTTCGTTCATTTCGTTCATTTCATTCATTTCGTTCATTTCGTTCATTTCGTTCATTTCGTTCATTTCGTTCATTTCGTTCATTTCGTTCATTTCGTTCATTTCGTTCATTTCGTTCATTTCGTTTATTTCATTCATTTCATTCATTTCATTCATTTCATTCATTTCATTCATTTCATTCATTTCATTCATTTCATTCATTTCATTCATTTCATTCATTTCATTCATTTCGTTCATTTCGTTCATTTCGTTCATTTCGTTCATTTCGTTCATTTCGTTCATTTCGTTCATTTCGTTCATTTCGTTCATTTCGTTCATTTCGTTCATTTCGTTCATTTCGTTCATTTCGTTCATTTCGTTCATTTCTTTCATTTCTTTCATTTCATTCATTTCATTCATTTAATTCATTTCGTTCATTTCGTTCATTTCGTTCATTTCGTTCATTTCGTTCATTTCGTTCATTTCGTTCATTTTGTTCATTTCGTTCATTTCGTTCATTTCGTTCATTTCGTTCATTTCGTTCATTTCGTTCATTTCGTTCATTTCGTTCATTTCGTTCATTTCGTTCATTTCGTTCATTTCGTTCATTTCGTTCATTTCGTTCATTTCGTTCATTTCTTTCATTTCATTCATTTCATTCATTTCATTCATTTCATTCATTTCATTCATTTCATTCATTTCATTCATTTCATTCATTTCATTCATTTCGTTCATTTCGTTCTTTCGTTCATTTCGTTCATTTCGTTCATTTCGTTCATTTCGTTCATTTCGTTCATTTCTTTCATTTCTTCATTTCTTCATTTCTTCATTTCTTCATTTCGTTCATTTTGTTCATTTCGTTCATTTCGTTCATTTTGTTCATTTCGTTCATTTTGTTCATTTTAGTCATTATTATTCGTTTGATTTCATTCACATGTTTCAATTGATGAGTGAAAATTATAAGAAATCAAATTAAGAAATACCCGACTAAAAATGTAAAAAAATATGCTATAACATAATTTTTTATATTAATAACTTAATAAATATTAAAAACTTTCTTATATTTGTGGGCTTTTAGTGGTAAACTTTGTATACTGACCTTTTCTTTAAAAAGTATGAAGTTTTTTTTCTCTTCAATTGGTTTTTGTATGTTTTCCTTATTGTCAGTTGAACCTGCAAAAACTTCACCAATTGTAAATCTATGTTATTTTGTTACAAAACAACTAAATTGACTGCAACTCTTGCTTTGATTGGATCTTCCAATCAAACTAATCTGACATGGGTCATTAGATTGAAACTGCTAAAACTAAAAAAAATTGATCTGAAAACTGTGATGATTTGATCCAGAACTAAACCGTGTCAAAAGTCTGCGGTTTTAGAAGGTGCTATGGCTTGAATGGATTTTATAAGCCTCTGACTATGGTTGAAATAAATTTACTGTAATTTATTGATATTCAAACCTGCAACATGCAACAACTCCACCAATTATAACCCTCAAATAAAAAAAATATTATCGTGGAAAAATAAATCTGTAACCTACATCCTGTACACATGATTGAACGTACAAGTTGACAGCTGAACTGACTCTGAACAGCTGATAATTGAGCCAGCAACAATTTAATTGACTTGTTAATATCATCATCAATAGTGGTGGATCCAGCCCCAATTGTACGAAAAACACTACTCTCGTATGGTGAGTGTGGCATGGTAAAACTGTTTATCGTACTTTTTCTGTGAAAATACCTAGAAAATGTGTTCACTAATCTCGTGAGATGACAAATTAAAAGTGCGATACTGGCCTTGGATGGAAAATAAAAAGTAAAAAACGCTTAGTGATGATGATGTGTTAGGACACAGCAATTTGATTATACTCACAGTACGTTACACATTCGTTGTAGGCATCTCCTATGTAACCAACTTTACATGAACACACAGGATAGTGGTTCTTGACGTGACATTCTGTGTTATTGCCACACACTCCGTCTTGACAAGGATCTACACACTTCTGCAGACGACATGAGCGGTCCTCCGGACAATGAGAATGAGTCTGACATTCCGGAATCCCTGCGACACAAAAATATTACAAATATATTACTGTTAGAACTATCCAATATATGTTGAATCGTCTTTCTAGGATCCCAGTGAGGTTAAAAGAAAAATACAACTACTAGGACTGATGAACGGTTGAAGCTATCCACCACATTCTGCTCTGACATACCAGCATCAATGTGAAAACAATCCAATAATAAATTTGAGCCATTCAACACGTTCCTGTTGGGCTGATTTGACATTATCAATTTGGGAGCATAAAAAAATGCGTAGGTAAAAGTTCTGCGGAACGTGGCTAAAGCTCGTCACTACAGCTGATCTCTACTAAAAGAAAATGTTTTGTGCATGTGTGCAGGTTAAGTTACGTTATTATATTAACATTCATCGAGCCTGCTCACAAAAATCACTCGCCTGTGCATCTTAAAATCCATTAATATCCAATATCCTACTACGTATATCATTACAATTTTTAATGTTAGATTTCAACCGTTCGAATATTTTCTTACACTTAGGACTGCAGCCTTTTTCTAGAGTGTGGAGGAATCCTTTGAGGCAGGCACACACTGGTCGATGGTTGACCACTCTACACACGGTATTGAGCCCACAATGGTCCATACAAGGGTCCACACACTTGTGACGAATACAGGACTTGTCTGTTGTACACATGGAGTCGTCCGTGCATTCTGCATTTTCTATAAATATAAAGAATATATTAAACACAGTATGCAGTATAAAGTACAATTTAAAATGTGTCTATGACAAATAATTTTTCCAATGGCATTATAAGGTAACGACAACGACTTATGGAGGAAGTATTGTCTTTTTCGAAATCTACGGGTTTATAAGTTTTGGGTCCCCCCGAACTCAAAAAGTGGTTTTCGAATTGATGTCCGTGTGTGCGTTTGTGTATGTGTGTTTGTGAAGGGGAGATTTGTAGACCACTTAGTTAATGACAACACATGTGGTCCGATTTTTACCATCTAAAATATTTTACACAAATCCCAAAACTGTAAAAACTACGGTTGAAAAGTTATTGAAATTGTTTTGATGTTTCCTACAAAACCCGATTAGTCCAACCGATACCCCCTTCAATTACCAAGTACAAAATTTTCATTCTGTAAAATATAGTAGGGCGTTCTGTAACCAACTCTTACCATGGCCTTTTTTGTAAGAAAATTAAAGCTGCTGCATCCAGGAGTTAGTTTACTTAAGCTTGTGAACGGTGAGACTACTAAGGTAAAAGCAACATTTTCAGCACTATTCATTGGATATGAAAAGTGGATGAATAAAAGAGACGATATAAATGTATTTTAACGGATTGTTCTAGCATTGTGTTATTCCCCTCCTTCCTATATGTATTCGATATACAGCCCCAAAGAGCATAACCTTGTACATGTAGTCCCACATACCTGGCTTACATTCCGTAAACGGGTCTCCTTCGTAGCCAGTTTTACAGGAACACAAAGGATCTCCTTCTTGTACCACACAAATTGTGTTCAGTCCACACACTCCATCACAGGGATCAGTGCATTTTTTAGCTATGCATATCTTCCCTGAAATGCACTCATCATTTGAGATGCACTCTTCTCCTAAAACACAGATGCATACATACACACACACATATACATATACAGGGTGATCAACTCAAGGAGGCCACCATTGGGATATCGGAAACGGTAAGAATTAGAGAAAACTTTAAATGGGGGACATTCCTTTATTTTTTGTGGCAGTTAAAAATATGATTTTATTTTTTTCGAAATTCAGCCGCCATTTTCCAAAATGGCGGCCAACTTTGAAATTTCTTATGGAACACCCTATATTTTATCAAGTTTTCGGATAGAAAAGGCAATTTAAAAACTTTTTTATTCTTGACATTTTTTCGATAAACCCACTCGTTTAGGAGTTACAGCCTATGGAAAATGACTTCCGGTGTACATTTTACAACAGGTGTAGCTCCTAAACAAGTAGGTTTATAGCGAAAATTCGAAAAGTAAATAAGTCAAATAAGTCTTAAAATTGCATCCACATTCCAAAAAGACCATAAAATTCCTTAAAACTATTAATTCTATTATTTTTAAAATGGCGGCCATTTCCCAAAATGGCGGCAAACTTGAAAAGTGGAAAACTTAAAAGTTATTTTATGGTTATTTTATGGTCTTTATGGAATGTGGATGCAATATTAAGACTTCTTTGACTTATTTACTCATCGCATTTTCGCTATAAACCTACTTGTTTAGGAGCTACATGATGTAAAATGTACACCGGAAGTCATTTTTCCATAGGCTGTAACCCCTAAACGAGTGGGTTTATCGAAAAAATGTCAAGAATAAAAAAGTTTTTAAATTGCCTGTTCTATCCGAAAACATGATAAAATATAGGGCGTTCCATAAGAAATTTCAAAGTTGGCCGCCATTTTGGAAAATGGCGGCTGAATTTCGAAAAAATAAAATCATATTTTTAACTGCCACAAAAAATAAAGGAATGTCCCCCATTTAAAGTTTTCTCTAATTCTTACTGTTTCCGATATCCCATTGGTGGCCTCCTTGAGTTGATCACCCTGTATACATATATATACCGGGTGTCCAAAACCACCCGTACACCCCTTTCAAAACGTTGGAAACATTTTCTTACAAACAAAAAATAATACAGAACTAGCTAAATTGGGTACGGTCTACCAAATGGTGATAATTTCAAATCCAAAATCACACCGGAAGTGGCTTTTTCAGACCGGAAGTTGACTTTTTTAAATGTAAGCTACCAAATAAATGTATTAAATGTATATGTGTATTAAATGTATTTTGATTACAGAATCGGATTCTACGTTGAAAAATACATAACTTTTGTATAAAACATGTTTTGAAGAAACTAGTTCTCTACCTCCAATCCCTTATCAAAGTCAATAATTTTGGGTCATTCATCTGCCAAAGTTGCTTGAAACAATAATAGAGAAAAACAAATAATAAAGATTACATAAAGACATATGATGAATAGAATCAGCTGTTTATTGTAAACACCTTAGTAATTGAGTAACAACTGGTCTACACATTGCTAAATATCACACTTTATAAAAAAATCATTTGTTTTTACATTAGAATGGTCAAATGTAAAAACAAATGATTTAAACAAAAATTAAATTAAGCAATGTGTAGACCAGCTGTTACTGTTATTGTTACTCAATTACTAAGGTGTTTACAATAAACAGCTGATTCTATTCATCATATGTCTTTATGTAATCTTTGTTATTTGTTTTTCTCTATTATTGTTTCCAGTAACTTTGACAGATGAATGACCCAAAATTATTGACTTTAATAGGGGATTAGAGGTAGAAAACTAATTTTTTTTTATGTTTTATATAAAAGTTATGCATTTTTCAACGTAGAATCCGATTCTGTAATCAAAATTGGTAGCTTACATTTAAAAAAGTCAACTTCCGGTCTGAAAAAGCCACTTCCGGTGTGATTTTGGATTTGAAATTATCACCACTTGGTAGACCGTACCCAATTTAGCTAGTTTTGTATTATTTTTTTGTTTGTAAGAAAATGTTTCCAACGTTTTGAAAGGGGTGTACGGGTGGTTTTGGACACCCGGTATACAGGGTGTCCATAAAAAACGTTTCAGGACTTTGGCAAATGGATCCCCATACTAGAAGGAAGAAAAAAGTTTATTGGAAGGTATGTCCGAAAATGCATATTTACCCAGATATCCGCCATTTTGTTTTTTATACAAAAATATCTTTATCTGTGAAGTTTTTTATTCGATGATTATGAAACTTGGTAAACATGTTACCATACACAAGACCTATTATAGAAAAAATAATAAAGTTGTTCCGATTGTAAATTTCAAAATGGCGGCCGTTTGAATTTTTCTAACTTTATTAACTCAAAAACGGCTAATTCTATGAAAAAATGTCAAGAATACTTTTTTTAGCATTTTTAATTGCCTATCAAACAATACCAAGATCAAAAAGATCGGACAAAAGATAACTGAAATATTACGTTTTTTCTGTAAAAATAAGGCAAAATTTAGGGGTTCCCCGACTAACTTTGCCTTATTTTTACAGAAAAAACGTAATATTCATTGACTACGGAGAAAATTAAAAAAATTGTAAATTTAAAATTCCCATGTTATTCTTATGGAGAATAAATAAACTGTTCTAGTTTGCTTGTTTATGGATATATTTTAATCAAATTTGGCAATTTGGTTTATTTCATACTAAGCTATCAATATTTCAATTGAAAAAACACACCTCAACATCTTCCCCGTAGCAGCAAACCTAACTACTGTACTCACTAAAATTAATGTTATTTAAATAGGAAATAAATCTGAAAATTTATAGGGAATATTTTAGTAGAAATCAAGCCGGGTAAATGGAAATTCGCTTAGTATGCAGGTTTGCTGCGACGGGGGTATTTATATTTCCCTTGGGCTTCGCCTCATTTAATTAGATGAATGTAAATATATAAATTGAAGTCAGCTGTAAATACTTTAGTTTGACAATTTGTTTAAAGAGCAGAAATTAAGAGGTAAAGGTTCTGCTCCCGAGAGATTCTAAAGTTTTATGATTACAAGTATTCAAACGTTACTCGTATTATATATAGGATTTTATGCCAGTTTGTTTGTTTTGATTTGCCCTGAAATTTGACACGTATGAACACATGATCGCACTAAAAAGGTTCATCTTCAAAGATATTCCACTACAGTGTAACCGCATCTAGCTAAAAAAATCCAATTGCACTGTACAGACTTCTACAGACTATTTTCACCCCATCCTGTATATAAAACATGTGATTGTAATTTCTTTCATTTGTTTTGATTTTCTGTTTATATTTCGTTGTTATTTCGTCACCAGCATGGCAACCCATAAAGCCCATGTTAATTTGTTTAAATTTCAAATTCATTTTTTGTTCTTATTTTTGAGCCTATTTTAATTTTTAAAGGTATTCTGCACTACTACAGGAACATATCTTTCTAACGGTATGCGTAGATTTCCCCTACAATGCACACGAGCTGAGAAAAAAGGTTTTAAAGAAACATGCTTGCCTATTAATATATAGATAGATTAGAATAGTAGCAACAATATGTGATTAAAGTTAAAAAGGTTTGGTTATGTGTAAGCCATAAAAAATGGATTAAATATATTTCCACATTAAAAACTAAATAGATTAAAACAAATTGATAAATAAAACAGCTTTTTAAAATACTACGTTTATAAATGAACTTTAAAAAGTAGAAAATAATATATAAATAAGTGAAGAGAATAAATACTTGTGAGAAATTTAAACGAAAAACGTTATGCGCATGCAATAAATAATAATCTAATAGGTTAAGATAATCGTATATTAGCTATTGCATGCGCCCCACGTTTTTCGTTTTAAATCTTACAAGTATTTATTCCCTCCCCTTATTTAAATAGTTTTGTCTACTTTTTAGTGAGTTTAAAAACGTGTTATTTTTAAAAGCTTTTTATTTATAAATTATTAAGCATGCTTCTTTATTTTTGTAAAATTACAAAGGATAACAATACGCATTTTGCGGTAATCAGCTATTGACGTAAAGGCCACAATTGCTGTAAATTCAACGTTAATTTCCCATTCATCCCCTTTTTCCCCACCCTTAACTAAACATTTTTAAATTTCAAGGTACGCCTTGTGACATATCAGATGAAAGTACATGAAAACAACTTTTTCGTAAATAATAACAAATTATTCTAGAACTTGAATAATAAAAACCAAAATAAGTTGTAAAAAAAGAGTTTCCTGTGTATCGATTTTTTAATCAAAATAAACTGTACCGAGCCATGTCTCGGTCCCTCGCTACTTGTTGTTAATTAGGCCTAAAACATAATCCAGTTACAATATTTAAATTTCCTCTCTTGATTCAGATACCGAGGTATCCAGGGTGACATAAAAACAACCTTTAGATTACAATAACTTGTCCTTTCAGTTTAGCTAGGCTAAACAGTAGGTGTATCCGACAGAGATCAGTAACTTATATCAGTAGTATACTCTGTCGGTGCCCCAATACATTTTACTAAGTAGCACTGACATACGTAGGCCCAATACGTTGCCTCCTAATACGTAACTGGTAATACGTTAACTTTAGTAAAATAACTTGAATATTTACCTGTTGTGGTGTTGTTTACAGGCTGGGTCCTCGACTTATCTACAAATAACACCAAGAGACACAAACACACAATTCTCGAATCCATCTTGTTCAACTACACCTCCTGAACTGAAAAGCGTTGTCTAGCTTTACTTGTACTTTGTTCCTCAGATAGCATTATATCACATTTGACCTTTTGATAAAGACTGTATTTTTGCATCTTATTTACGAGTACGACTGATGTAAAGAGACTTTGGATTTTTCCTGTTAAAAATATACCAAACACTATACTGAGTTTGTAGAATAAGAAGCATTCACCTCAATGGTATATAGTTTGTTATTGACAGTGTTATACACTGTACAAAGGGGGGCAGCGGAGCACTTGTGCTACTGTCATTTCCGATGGTTGGTATTTTACATATTATCATTGGCAATTTAAATATTTTTTGATCGGAGTGAGCAAAGCTCTTATACTACAATCCTGCTTTTGTTTTACAAAAAGTCATCCTGAACTGCTCATGTGATCCGCATGGAATTAAGCACAGTCTTAATAACAACTATTGAAAGGGGTTAATCTGAAATCATACAAATCGGATTAAAGGCTTTTCTTTACGTAAAATAAAATTTTAAGAAAATTAACATTGACCTTATTGAAGTTGGTCTACATTACATTATTCGCTAGAAAAATAAGTAGGTCAACAAAAGAATCGCATAAACTAGCACATCCAGCTATAAATGAATAGCACTTAAACTATAATTATATAAATGAAATTATAGTTTTGTCTGTACATTGTTTAGAATTATATATTTTAGGTTATTTTTACGTTTGATACATTAAAGGAACCGAAACAAGTATTATCTTTATTTTTGTCTGTCTGTCACGGCCCAAGAGACATTTTATCCGGCCTTCTCCTGAAAACGAGAGTACCTATCAAGATCCAAATCATTTTAATGTATTTGCTGGATTGGCGAGTGTGTCATTAGCCATTAAAATATGGCCTCACTACTTTGTAAATCAAATTACGGACGTTCAAAAGACCACTTTTGTAAGATTTTTGTCAAGTTTCCCCCCAATGTTTATTACATAATCATCTACGAAATAACGATCACCTGTTCGGATCAAGATTATTTTTTCTAGCTGTCACTGATATGTTTACATTAAATAATATTGTTTACAAATACCGCAACCATTTACGATCACGTTTTTAAAGCAAATCCAAACCAAGTGAGATTAAAAACGTGTTTCTTACATAACGGACTTAATTAATCGCAATAATATGTAACCGTAAATTAAATTTCATAACTAGGTCAGGAACCAGAGATTCTTTGTGTATAAACTATTTTTTTAACAAATGTATAACTTAATGATAATATATAAATGTTTGCAATAATTTTATAAATAAACTATTGACGAAAGATCGTCGTCTGCGGGTGAGGATCCAATGATAAATTGTTCTTGATTTTGATAACCGGGAAGAAGACCTTGAATGAGTGTTGTATAGAGCTGGGAAACTTACATTTATTAAATAATCGTCACCAATAGCTTAAGAACACCTTAAGCGAGTTGTAAGACAAGCAAAACAGTAGGCCATAGGTCTATAGTAATTAAGAAAATACCTATGTAGAAAGAAATTATGTATTCCTTTACTATAGTAATAGTTTATTGTAACATGATTTGTACTTTTAGTGCGAATTCATTATAAAGGCGTTATTTTATTTAACCTATAATTTGGCATTATAAGAAACTGGTGTTTTTTTCTTTGTTAGTTTCAAATGAATTCTTAATTTTATGCATAATCCTTGTTGATCAAATATTTTGAATCGTCTCAATTTTCCACTCTTATGGGTTACCAGATGAAATTATAATAGGCTAAGTTCACGAACGAACCAAGCAATACACATTTTTAAGTGTAGTTATCACAAAGTCTCAAAAGAGAAAGAAAAATCAAAATTGTAAATCGCTGTCTATCAAAATTATTTTGAAATATAACTACAAATAATACCTCATACTGGTAAATATAACTGAGGGCCGGTTCATTTTCTGATCTAAAAAAAGAGTTTAAAAATGCCCATGTATGGGCGTTTCTCAGTATAAAAATATCACATGCATCGCAAATTAAATTAGCAAGCATGATACCATGCACTCGGATGCAAAGCCCGGCCACATCTTTTCCTAAACCTTAAAAGAGTTGGTAAATTTGACTATTTCATCAAGCCACACCCTGTTTCGTACCTGTCCTCCTGGGTCTTTAAAACGGATAATTGAACTTGCATATTTGGTTATACCCTCTAACCGTTACCTAGTAAATCAGTACTAGTTCTCTGACACAACATTTGTTTGCTGCAATCCATTTAATGATCTTTCTGCAGGCCTACCCACATAAGAATCTATTTTGTATGTTCATAATTAACCATTTTTTCTTATTTATTTATTGTTACAGGAGGGTGCAATAGAGAAGAATTGGGCTCGAATATGAGTTATTTAAGTAGTGTGGATGTTAATACTGTATCTAGTTTTATTTTATAAATAAATATTTTTATTTGCACTCCAGTTTTTATTTTCCGGCATGGTTAATTCCTATTCTCTTTTCAAAAGGATCACATGAATTGAGTATACTTTTGTAATGAGATAGACTTATCCAGAATTGGTGCGTCATTATTTGATTCATTAAGTACAGTTAAATGTAAAACACATACAAGATTCTGTGTGAAATTTATAAAGCCTATCATTTCAGTTTTGTAAGTAAGAGACTTTTATATTGTTATTCATTAACCTTAGAATACAAACATCATAATTGGAAATAGATGGGACAGTAAGGCCATAACAATATTCTTTTCCACAGTTAGCTTATACAAATGTCAAACACTGCTGTTAAAAATTTTAAGCCTAATTAATATAAAGTGCAGTATTTCTTTTATCTGTCAGGGATCAAATTAATCAGCTGATGCCTAGGCCATCCATTTGTTTTACAATGTGTAGTAAAACTTATAACCTCTGTACAGTGTTTTTAAAATATTTATTTACATGTTTTCCTCAGCATGGTTCCGACAAATTTTTTCAAAAGATTTACCAATTATTTCATCAAGGTTTTGCATAACTTAAAAAATGTTTGGCACTAGTGACATTGAAAATGAATATGAATACAATTACAGTTCTATAAAGACTTCCCAATAATTTTATTAAAAATCGGGGAAATATTTTACGTCAATTTTATGTTAATTTTACATTTTTTTGCTTAACACTATGGTGTCAATTTGATTTAAATTTGACATCATTTTGCCTAAAAAAACTGTGCAATATTACGTCAAATTTATGACAACATGACGTCAAATTACGTCAGTTTTTTGACGTCATATTGATCTTTATCGACGTCAAAATTACGTAAAAATATCATTGACGTTGACGTCTTTGACATAAATTATTTTACGTCAAATTGATGTGGGAAAGGTTTCCGAAATGGTCACAACCATCAAAACCCCAAACTAAAAAGTGTTGACGAAAAAATACATTTCTCAACATACATATAGGGGAGAAAGAGAACAGATTTATTATTTACTTAAACATTTATTTATTATGGGAATTAAGTATAAAAAATACAACAGCTGTATATAAGTCAGACAATGAAAGGATAACTGAGAGAAATTATACAAATGCAACTTAATTTAACTTTACAGAAAATTATCGTTGATATTGCATGCCTATGATCTAGATTTAGGGGTTGGATTCCCAGCTATTGTTTTCCTATGTTCACATACAAATTGAAAAGTAGAGTAACAATCGTCGCTTGCAAAACCATTAAGAGCTTTCAAGCAGTGACGGTCAGCGTATATCTTGCGATCAGGCTCATCAGACTCCCAATTGGTATATGAAAGTCGTTTTCCAGTGGATGCCCATCGGAACTCCGGATAGTGGCCCAAGTCACTTCCACCAATCCATACATAGCTGTTTAGCCCTGTCAACATAAACGATATTATATCCTAAGGCGGTATAAAATAAGCAGTACCAATAAACCGACTCAAAACTTTCCCTTTTCTTGAGATTAAAAATGTGTATTGTACAGTGCTACAAACTACACCTTATGTCCAACTTTGATTAAATTTGGTTTGTGGGTACTAATCCATGGGATATCAAGGCATTTTCACTTTCTCCCCCTATTCATATTATATGGACAAATTATTGTTTTAGTCAATAATTTCAGGTTTGGGTTTTGGGTGGACATATTCGTTTTTTGGTCCTCCTGCACCCAAAAAGTGGCTTTCTAAGTGATTTTTGTATTTGTTCAATTAAATTCGATGCAATTCATGCAATTAATTAATTACAATATCCCAAGTGCTATGCAAAGCACGCCCTAGATGGAAACATACATTTTCATTATTACATTTTATTTCACTGTTTCTGGCAGCAAACACGATTATTATTCAATTTAATATGTTATAGTCCTTTTAACTCTAAGAAAAATAGTACAACTCTATTGATGTAAAAATTACTGTTGAAAAGTTATCGTCCAAAAAATGTGATTTCCCCATAAAATCCCACAAAATGATGGAAAAATTGGATTTTTGAAACGGCTCAATCAACCTAATTAAATTAGAATTTACTATGTTGTGTTCCTCATAAAAACACAAATGGTACCCCATTGTTGTAATAACTACGATAAAAAATTATTGCAGTTGTTGTGATTTTTCAAATAAAATATAAAATACTCCCGCCATGATAAAGGTTTTGACAAGTTACTAGGAGTAAGTATAGGTTGCCGATACCATTTACTTAATGGAAAGTTATGGGATTTTTATGGAGAAACACAATGGAACATTTTTTAAAGACAATAATGCAATTGATTTTTGACCATAGTTTTTATTTAGGGATTATGCAAATTTGTTTATGATTGAAAGGTTATTTCTACCTAAACCCCAAACTCGAAAATGCAACAATATTCGAGAAACAATAGTTTCACCTTACACCACATTTTTAGGGGATAATGTAAACAGCTAATAAGGGTTGGTACTCTAAAATATACGCTACATAACAACTTTGTTCTTAAGTATACGCTTTTTTTAACTTGCGAAGCTTATTACACATAAAAAACTCTTCTACATGTGTAGATTTTCAAATTCATTAATTTTAATAATACCAAAATATTATTGCTATAATAAT